GCTCTGGGAGGGGCACAGGGTCTCCTAATTGCTCTCATCATCCTTAACAAACTGCAGCTCCCAGAATTCTTTGGGGGGAGCCATGACTGTTTAAAGTGGCGTCCAAGTATGGTAAACATTTGGTGTGGATGTCACCTCAAGATATAATAGGTTCCTCTGTTCATATTGATGCTCTGTAGGGATGCGGGTGACGCTGTGGTCTAAACCACTGAGCCTCTGCCGAATCAACCCTGGTGATCAATGGGGAGACAGATGTCGCAGTCAGATCGCCCTTTATACAAAGATGTATAAAACAGAACAAAAGATTTGCTGGAGATGTAAAGAAAAGGAAGGGACCTTTTACCATATGTGGTGGGAATGTAAAATTGTAAAAAGATATTGGGAAATGATTTATAATGAATTGAAAAAAAATGTTTAAAATAACATTTGTAAAGAAACCAAAAAGCTTTTCTGTTGGGTGTTTTAGGACAAGATGTGAAGAAAGAATTAGAACACTGTTTATGTATGTGACAACAGCAGCAAGAATTTTAATAGCACAAAACTGGAAGACGGGAGAAATACCATCCAAAGAACAATGGCATGAAAAGTTGACGGAATATGCAGAATTAGCAAAATTGATAGACAAACTGTGAGACTTTTGAAAAGAATGGGAACCTTTTGTAACATATTTGCAGAAACAATGTAAAAGTATGGATTCTTTGGCAGGATTTAAATAAACATATATAATGTAATTAGAGAGAACAAGAAAGATAACAATGTGATAATATACTACTATATATAAGCAGCAGAATGCAGCAAGTGCTTTAACAAACCAGAAACAGAAATGGAGGGAAACCAAGGGGGAGAGGACCCCTGACCATTAGGTCCATTCGTGGCCGACTCTGGGGTTGCAGCGCTCATCTCGCTTTATTGGCCGAGGGAGCTGGTGTACACATTCCGGGTCATGTGGCCAGTATGACTAAGCCGCTTCTGGTGAACCAGAACAGTGCACGGAAATGCCGTTTACCTTCCCGCCAGAGCGGTAGCTATTTATCTGCTTGCACTTCGTGCTTTCGAACTGCTAGGTTGGCAGGAGCAGGGACCGAGCAACGGGAGCTCACCCCGCCGCGGGGATTCGAACCGCCGACCTTCCAATCGGCAAGTCCTAGGCTCTGTGGTTTAACCCACAGCACCACCCCCGAAGGGGGAGAGGAGAATTTACAAAATGATTGTTTGGTTAAGTTGAATGTTTGATATATGTATGAAAACTAATAAAAACTGATTTTTAAAAAAACAAAAACCACTGAGCCTCTTGGGCTTGCTGATCGGAAGGTCGCGGTTCGAATCCCCGCAACGGAGTAAGCTCCCATTGCTCTTTCCCAGCTCCTGCCAACCTAGCTGTTCCAAAGCACACCAGTGCAAGTTGATAAACAGGTACCACTGTGGCGGGAAGGTAGAAGGCGTTTTCATGCACTCTGGTTTCCATCATGGTGTCCCGTTGAGCCAGAAGCGGTTTAGTCATGCTGGCCAAATGACCTGACCAGCTGTCTGTGGACAAACGCCGGCTCCCTTGACCTGAAAGCAAGGTGAGTGCCGCAACCCCATAGTTGCCTGTGACTGGACATAACTGTTCAGGGGTCCTTTACCTTTACCTTTTTTACCTATTGATGCTCTGCCTCTCCTGCCCACCCCTGAGATTTTTTCTCTCTCCATCCTGTATGGAATGAAGGACCCCAATACAGAGGTGAACCATGGAGCCCTAATGACGAAGCATGTCTTACACAGATAACTATAACACAAACACAAAAACCAGCTGCCTCTTGGTTGCTTTGATCTAAGTCTCTGAGAGAAGGAATGCCTTTGGCTATCTATAAGTGGATGGCACTGAGCACGGGGTGCTACTTACATTCTATTACTACAATTTTAATCACCACCGTGGCAGGATAACTGAAAGGTGTGGTTTCATAATAAAACTCTTCTCAAGCATATATTTTTTTATGTAATGAGGCTTACACCTGCCAACAAGAAAGGATTAATTAATAAATTTAAATTACCAGGACCAGGTGCTAATGTTTATTTTGTTTCGGCCGAATATTGTAAAGGAACTACAGTGGCAAAGATGCTTTTAGCTTCTGGGTGTGGTACTGATCTTAGCCCGACCACCTGTTCTTAGTTCTAAAGCAACAAGGGATAAATCCAAAGGAATCTGAGCTTCCCAGAAGCTGCCACTCCTAGAAGACACTCCTACAAATTTTACAGGATTTTTTTAGTCAGCAAACCATATTAGAAATCTTAGGGAAGGATGTTCTTGCACGAATAAGATACAGAAAGGAAATTAGGAAGAGGGTGGTCCCCCAACCCCTGACCATTTCTTCCCCCTGCCCCTAAAAAAAGTTTAACTTTCTTTTAAATTCAAAATGTATGTGGGATATTATAAATATTTTTTCAATCTGTGGATGCGGGTGGCGCTGTGGTCTAAACCACTGAGCCTCTTGGGCTTTCTGATCAGAAGGTCGGCGGTTCGAATCCCCGCAAAAGAGTGAGCTCCTGTTGCTCTGTCCCAGCTTCTGCCAACCATTCCCCTATGAGATACATTTGTTAGAAGTTGGTGAGATTTTATTGATTATAAGTTGGTGGGAAGAGCACATTTGTGGATTTTGTAGCAAAGCAGTGTTCTGCCTTCTTGGAATTGAATGCAAATAACAGATACATGATCAACATATTTTAAAATGAATAAAGGAATGATGCCACAGAAGACAGAATTAGGATTCAAGGTGACCTTGACAGGATTGAGAACTGGGTCAAAACTAAACAAATAAATTTTGACACGGACAGATGTAAGCTTCAACACATAAACAGGAATAACTAGATACACGAATGTAAGATAGGGGACACCTGGCTTACTAGTCATAGATGTGAAAAGGTTCTAGGAGTCTTAATAGACCACCAGATTAACAAAAGTCAAGAGTGTGATGCAGAAGCAAATAAGCTAATGCTATTCTAGGCTGCATCAACAGAAGTCTAGCATTGAGGTCATTCCTTTACACTTGTTTGCCTTGACTAGCATTTTCTATTTGCAGACCATTCATGCAGTTTGGAGTTAGCCATGGTCATTGATTTCAATAGGTCTCCTCTGATTCTGAGTCTACTTCTTGTTCTCAGTCTGTCTCAGGAGATAATGGAAGAGTGCGTCTTTGGGGGTGAAGTCAAACCATTGTAGAGTTACAGTGCCTTCTGTGACTGTAGGAACCAATATGGGAGATACAAGTTTTGTGGCAGCTGGGGCAGATGAAGGCGTTTGATTGTGCTGATGCTTGTGTACCATGGTGTTTTTTTCTTTCTGCGCTTCTCCAGCTGGTCATTCCTCCTCCAAGTACACACTGAATCAAGCAGACGTAGGCAGGTCAGCGGTTTATAAGTTAGATATAACTCACTGGATGCATTTTTTTTTAATGGGTGCAAATTTAGTTCCCATTGTCCTCATAAAGGAGAATGGAAGCTAAGGGGCTTCCGGTGTGTTATGGGTTCAGGAAACATAGACAATGAACACAAACCACCACCTTAAACAACAACAACAACAAATTAATGAAAGACACATCAGTGTTGATCTGACTGGAGTAGAATTAGCTACAGCCAAGGACTATAATATCTGAAATGAGAGGTTGCAAGAGGTAATATATTTACCCTATAATAATATGAGGAGACCCTATAATATGCTTGCAGCCTTAGAAAATAACATAGGCCAATGTAGCTTTGATATGTGCAGCAAAGGTGATATTCAGCTGTGATTCAGACGTGACTTCCTTTTTCTAAGAAACTGTATAAAAGCACATGGCACAGGACACCAATCTCATCAGACTCAAGCACCTTCTCTCTGTCTTCTGCTACTGCTCTTGGTAAGTACTTTTCATTCATTCTAATTCTATATGTGTGGGTGAAATAATGAAATCACTAACCATGATGGCTATTCTCTACTCCCGTGGTTGGAAGCTGAATGCTTCTAGTTGGTGATTGTGAGAACAGGATGTTGGGCCATTTGCTGACCCAGCAGGTTTTTCTTACGTTCCTAAATATCAGATTTTGGGTCAAGTGGTGTGAGCCACATCCTAGTAAGGGGTGGAGGAATCTGTTCATTTTTGTTTCCTCTCAGATACTCTCTCTCTCTCTCTCTCCCTGACCTTCACAGTAACTTTAGTTCCTCACAGTTTCATACAACTGGCCTGACCTAGCAGGCCCCTTTTATGTCCATCCGTGTTTTGTTTCAGAATGTAAAAATTAGGTAAAATTGCCTTTATTTGCAAACTGAAACACATTTCTTTCTCCATCCCGCGCTGAGAGTAGTTCTGGTTCTGCATACCCTCCAAAATTTCTTCTATGAAAATAGGGACATCCAGTGCTTTCTTTCTGGAAAAATAGGTGCCAGGACTCACCATGAAGTTGTTTAAGTAAGTGTCACAATTTTTAACGAGAGAGAGAGGGGGGGGGGAGAGAGAGGTGCCAGTACTACGTACCCTTGAGTATCCTCGGGGGGGGGGGAGCACTGGGGACATCTATTACCATAATAGTAATAATTTTACTATCTAAATCCTACTTGTCTGACTGGGTTGCCCCAGCCCCTCTAGAAGGATACAAATATATACAGAAGCATAATAAAACATTAAACATTTTAAGAAAACGTCCCCATACAGGGATGCCTTCAGATGCCTTTGTCTTGGGGGCTAATATAACTCCATAGCCTCCAACATTTCTCAGATGAAAATAGGGACATCCTAAGGAAAAGCAGGACATCAGAAACAAGGATGGTTTCTGTACATCCGGGACTGTCTCTGGAAAATAGGGACACCTGCATGGTCTGCACACGTTTGCAGGCTACTTGCCCCAAAACAGGAAGAGGAAAAGTTATGGTTGACTCGCATCCACAGAGGTGGGTACCAGCTCTTGGTCCATCTTGGTCAGCACTGTGAAAAGGGATGGACACTAACTCTCCAGGTTTTCAGGCAGGAGACTCTCCCAACCCTACCAGGACATGCCAGGGATTGAACTTGTGACCTCCTTTGTGCAAGGAAGATGCTCTACCATTGAGCTATGGCCTGTCCCTGTTTATTATCTGATTATTTGCTGTGGTCACCTTTTTTTTCTTTCCTGCACCCTACATACCTTAGATATTGCATCATTCTATGCCATTTGTAAAGTGTCTTTTGTAAGAGATACCTAATGAGAGTCAAGAGCAGAGGTACCCAATGCAGTGTCCACTAAACATCGTGGACTTCAACTCAGATCATTCTGAGACTTTGGCAACATTAGCTGGGGCTGGTGGGAGTTGCATGCCAACAACATCTAGAGGACACCGTGTGGGTCACTCGTAATATAGAGCATCTCAGCCACAAAGGCAGGTACCAGCTCTTCCACAAAGCACTAGCCTCTGTAATTTCCCTTTTACCATGGCCTCTCCCCTCTGCTTCAACATCCCTCATTGTTGCACAAGTCTCCAAGGGTGGACTTCAGCATCCCCTTCCTCAGCTGATTTCTTCCACTAACTCTTGCCTGTCACTTGTCATTTCAGACCCAGCTCCATCACTCCAAGATGTCTTGCCAGCCCTGCTGCGTCTCATCCTGTGCCCCATCTTGTGTCAGCTACCCGGTCGGTGGTCTGGGCTCACTGTGTTCACCTTGTGGGGGCTTGTCATCCTACGGGGGGGCGGAGTGTCATCGAGTAGCCTCGGTATAACATCTGGAGCTAATGTTGGCTGCGTCAATCAGTTACCACCAAGTGAAATAGTCATCCAGCCGTCTCCCACGTGTGTGGTAATCCCAGGAGCAATCCTTGCCGCCTCTTGCGAGCCACTTAGAGTGGGGGGATACACCGCCTGCGGTGGGGGCTCCGGCGGAAGCTCATACGGCCGCTTGGGTCTGGGACAATCCCGTGGAATTGCCAAGGTGTGTGGTTCTCCCTGTTAAGATCAAAGTCAATCTCCACAACAACAGAAGAATTTGGAAAAGAAAATGGTACCTGCAAACTCCTAATACCCATTCATGGCTGCTGCTGATGTCATAGGCCTGGGTGTCATCACTGCTGAGACCCCTCAATCCACAACTCTGACAACTGGATCTGTGGTTGCTCAGCATTCCTGGTGCTTGTGTCCATCCCTATGCTAGATTGTAGATATGCTGCTTTGACTTCTCAGCTTTTCCTCCTGCGCTTTTACTTACCTCAAAGTACAAAACAAAAAACTCCAGAGGCATTAAGTAATATCCCCTTCTTTGGTTCTCTGTATGTTCAACTATTCTGAAGGATGCCCAAGTTTTTTGATGCCTCAACTGTCCTGCTAAACTCATGCCAATCGCTTTGTGCTGTTATCTTTCAGAGTAAAATATTTTTGTTCCCTTTGACATTTGCTCACCAGGCAAGTGTTTTCACACGCTGCTTTTTTCATTCATTAAAGCTTACCTGCCTGCATTTGAAAGAGAAAAAAGCCCTGTTGTGTTTGCTTCTCATTGGGTTTTGGGGAGGAGGACCTTTTTTAGGTCCGCACTGAATATCCATCTCATTCAGTAGCTGATGGATGCCCCAGAGAAACTGCTGGGCAAGGTGTATGACCATCACCCATCCCTATCTGTGTCTGTCACCTGACACTTAGATGTATGCTTCTCTATGTATGTGTAGCTTCTAATTTTCTTAGATATAGTATAGGGGAAAGAAATTCAGGTGTAATGATCAAACATGACCCTCTGGACTTCTCTTTATGGCCCATGAGACTCTTCCCATGTCATACAGGCTCCCAAACCTAGCCCCTCATCAGCTGTGCTTTGTTGGCTCCTTGGGTGATTAGGCCTGTGTGGGTTGTTCCATTAATTCTGACAATATGACTTACTTGCCAGCCTGGGAGAGATAAAGAATGCTACATATATAGTATGTGTAATACTAGTCTAAAAGGCAAACGTAAAAATTATCATAGCATCATAGATTTGCAGAGTAGAAAGGGATTCTGAGGACCATCTAGTTCAACCGCCTGGAATGCAGGAAGTTTCAGCTGTCCAATACGGGGAGTGAACCTCCAACCTTTCTGTTATCAGCACCATTCTCTAACCACCTGAGCTATTCAGGCATTGTGACTGGGGACGGTGGAAGTTGCAGCACTGCAGTATCCAGAGGGCCAAAGGCTCCACACATCTGTTACACAACGCTCCTCATTTTATATTATGTTGTATCCTTAGAGTACGAAGTTAGGCAGAGAAGTGGTACCACAGATGCTCCAAATGTATTTAGGAGGAATTAAGGCTGCAGAAGGGACACGGGTGCAGAAGGGACTAGGGCTTGCCAATTGGAAGGTCGGCGGTTCGAATCCCCGCAATGGGGTGAGCTCCCATTGCTCGGTCCCAGCTCCTCCCAACCTAGCAGCTTGAAAGCACGTCAAAGTGCAAGTAGCAGGAAGGTAAACAGCGTTTTTGTGTGCCGCTCTGATTTTGCCAGAAGTGGCTTAGTCATGCTGGCCACATGACCCAGAAAAACGGTCTGCGGACAAACGCCAGCTCCCTCGGCCAGTAAAGTGAGATGAGTGCAGCAAACCCAGAGTCGTCCGGACTGGACTTAACTGTCAGGAGTCCTTTACCTTTTTAACCTTTTAAGACTGCAGACTGTCCTGTTCCCAGCAGGAGGTGCTGAAATGCAGAACATGAGTCCAGGCTGTGATTTGAACCAAGGCGAACTCTCATTGGGGTGTAGTTGTCTGCAGGCAACCAAGCCCAACAGGCTAGGCAGTTGATCAGCAAATGTCTCTTTCTCTTTTTCTCATGTGCAGCCATAAGACCATGGGTAGGCAAACTAAGGCCCGGGGGCCGGATCCAGCCCAATCATCTTCTAAATCTGGCC